GTACCTATTTATCTACTTGCTCTTTTACATGCTTTTGAACTGCTAGGTGAGCAGAAGCTGGGACTAGTGACGGGAGCTCACTCCGTCACATACCATTTGGGTCTTGAACTGCCAATTTTGCAATCATCAGAGTCAGCATCTTAACTGATGAAATTACTACGAACAATTAACCAGCTGGTTCCTAACAAAAGAGGCTAAAATACAATATTCTGCCATCTTAAGAGTAATTTCTTCAATAAGATCTGAAAGAAGAATGTAGTAAAAACTGTTAAATTGGGGTAGTATATAAAAGATAGATGTCTTGGTAGTATACACAAGGGCAGATACATTAGGAGTAAGGGATACGTGAATATCTCCCTTCTATTAAAATTCAAAGACATAGCCATGTTAGTCTGGAAAATCAGCAGTGATGTATTCACATCTTTTACTCCAAGTCACAAGTCTCTACCTTCACATCTCAAGTCAAGTCTCAAGTCCTTGCAAGATATTTTCAGATTCAGTCTTAAATTGAGTCACAAATCTGGGAGCCAACTTTTAAAAGGAAAAAAGGAGGCAAGGCATATTTCTCAGAGAAGAACAGTAAATGTGTTCAGCAATGGGCTTAAGGCTTTCTCTGTTGTACATCAGAGGAGCCTTTTAAAGCTTTTGAAAGCTTCTGCCTCAAGCCTGTTGTCTAACATACTTATTGTTCCCCTTCAAGAAATGCACTGCATGCTCTGAAGACAGGTCTTACCTGCTGCTCAAAGTGAATGGCACCAGCAAGCCAGTTGCTAAAAATATACAAGCCTCAAGTTAAGTTGAGTCATTGAGTCATTTATTGCTGAATCAAGTCCATGTAAGGTCACTGAAGTGCCTTGAGTCCAACTTGAGTCTGAATGAATCTACTTGAGTCTACATCACTGAAAATCAGTATGCAAAGGGATCTTGTAGTACCTTTGAGTTTAACTGAAAGAAAGAAGCTGGTAGCCTGAGCTTTTGTAGACTTGAGCCTACTTCCTCAGATGCATATTTCATGCTACAAGATGCTACAAGGTGCTACAAGATCCCTCTGCATACTAAAGCATTAAAATATGCAGGCTCTATGGTATTTAAGGACCTCTAGGGCATAAAGATAATTGCCTGGGACACATCTTTTGCTACAATTCCCATCTGTCAGAAAACCCAAAATGCATGCCTTATCTTTGTGAAGAGCTCTATACCAGATCCTTTGTTCGATTATTTCTTTGGCGCTGGCGAATCCCAGGTGTAGTAGAACTGATGGGGATCAGTTCTGTTCCAGGACTGATGGGTAGCAGGATAAGTATCATGTTGAGGCAGAGGACTTACCTATGCTACCAAACAAACACATTCTGATTTAGAGATTTTCCTATATCACCTAGATCAGGGTCTGAAACTGCATTCCTGGGCATATATATGAATCCCATTGAACTGAGTGGGGAATATCTCTGAGTGGACATGTT